AAAAAAAAAAAAAAAAAACTACCAAAGTTGAACAATTGAGAAAAATGAAAATTAAGTTGCAAAAAAAGGTCTGGGTACTTTGGACCAAGTGTGGTAAGCAAAGGTTAAAATTCTAACGCGAAACGTTACATACAGTTAGATTATTATATTTCTATATTTGATTTCAATGATCCGCAAGTAAAAGAAAAATTGAGATCGAAGTAAAGAAAATGATATGAAAGAAAAAAAAGGGGAAAAAGTTGAACAAAATTTAGAAATGCTAAAAGCTTCAAATTAGAATTTCTAACGCTACTCTGCAAATATATCTTGAATATTTTTTACACGGTGTCTCGTAATTATAATCGAACGAGTAAAAAAAAAAAAAAATACAACAACAAAAGTCAAAGAAAAAGATAAGAGAAAAAGATTTTTTTAAAAAAAGGATGACAAAATTATCAATGCATCATCATCATCATCATCATCATCATCATCATCAGTCGCAGCGAAATTTCTCTCACGAATATTTTTCGTTTTAGAATATCGTATGTGATTATTTAGACAACGAAAGTAAATGATATTGTGAAGAAAAAAAAACAACAAAGCAAGAAACCAAAAAAAAAAAAAAAGAAAAAGAATCACTTGTATAGCAAAAATTTAGTCTTCGATAATTAATCTACGCTTATTATCATCGCAATCTCACGAACACGAACATATATTATAAAAAAAAAAGAAAAAAAAAGAAAAAAAAAAAACTAAGAAAAACTGAAACGTTTTTATTTGATAAAAAAAAAAAAAAATTAACATGCGTTTTAGATTAGACCCAAAACCCTTTGACTGCAGCGCGCTCTCGAATCAAACCATTAATATTATGGAGGGTAGAGGTAAGGAGTATCATCTCGTATAGGAGAAAATTTGAAAAAGTGTCCAGCGTATGCTATAAATAACAGTTGAAAAACCTTCCAGAATGGCGCTGGTGTAGACACTTGGTATGGTATGAATGTAGCAATTGTAAATGTATTGTAATTGTTTATTTCTCAATCCTACTCTAATAATATTTGGCGTTTCCTTTAAAATTTACCCTCAAGCTACTGTGGCGCCACCCTAATTGAATGCATTTCGACGGACACTTTTCATATTATGGAGTGTAGAAGTAAGGAGTAACATCTCTGTATATGGGTTCGAGTCCCCACTCTCCGACATCGAACGAGGGGACATGCCAGCTCGTCAGTCGTGGGACTTTGGGCTCGCGGGCGTCAGAAATGATGTCCTTGGGACCACCACCAACATTCGACGTGGTGGGCTCGAGGGGCACCAAACTGCTGCGCTACGCACGGGGAACGGGGCTGCCCGCGGGACCACCGCAATGATAGGTGCTCCCTGCAAGGGGCCCGGGCACAATGGTCCAAGGACTGAGCGCCCGGGATAACAAACCACACGAAAAAAAAGAAACGTAATTTTTTAACCTATTTTAATTTACTTTGATTATTTTCTACATTCCTTCAATAATAATCGGTAATTATAAATATAAAAGAAAAAAATACAAAATTTATAATATAACACAGAGGTATAATAACTTTAACTGGATATTTGAATAATTTTAACCCTAATTATAAAAATAATAAAACAATCATGAACGAATAAAGATAATAAAATTCAAATAGACGACAAATTTCAAATATAAAAGCAATTAACTATAAAGACATTGAAATAATTGCCAATATTTAGTTGCTATGTTACATATCACAATAAATTTCATGTTAAATTAATCGATTAAACAGCAATAAAGGTGTTATAGTAAACAAAATACAGAGGGCCTATGTATATTTACGCCTTTCGTGTATATTGATGGATTTGTGAGAGCGTATATATACGCCTTTAGCAGTCAAAGGGTTAACGTCATTTATCGTTTATCAAATTTTCCGGTTTCTCGTGATGGTGACGAGTAAAACACGTTTTTAATAATAAACAAAAAAAAAACAAACAAAAAAAAATGATTAATTTGAATTTCGAAAAAAAGACCCATTGTGCGTAGACGACGACGACGACGACGACGAAAAATGGATAGGAAGAAGAAGAAAAAAAAAAAGAAATAAAATAGTTACGAAGATATTATAAAAAAAGAGGAAGAAGAAGAAGAAGAAAAAAAAAATGTCAGGTAACAAAAGATTGTATCAGGGCCGCCGTGTAAAAAATTATTTCCTAAGGCGTTTCGGCGATGAATTTCTCGTAGCACGCTTTGCAAAGAAGAAGAAGAAGAAGAAGAAAAGAGAGAGACAGACCATAATAAAGAGAGAGAGAGAGAGAGAGAGAAAAAGAAAAGAACAAAAATATTAACCACAAAGAATAAAATAATAATAATAATAATAATAATAATAATAATAATAATAATAATAATGATAGGAGAAAATAATAAAACAATAATAAATCTTAGCGTCAATTTTCTACGATGGAATTTTCTACAAAAAAATTCAGCGGTAAGCGCACGCACGGGCGGGCGCGCGCGCGCACATTGTAAAGAAATAGAAAAAACTAAATAAATAAATTGCGCTTAATAATAGCGCAAATATGTTGTATGTAATGTACGCTACGCAGCACCGGTAAACATCTTAAACAATAAGATCATATCTATCAAATACACTTTTCTATTAGGATAATCCATTTTAATTTTCTTGCGGGACATCCGAGGGCCGTTCTTTACTTATAAAAAGAAAGAAAAAAAAAAAAGAGAGAAAAAAAAAGATGAAAAAAGAAGACACACACAGCTACTATCCACGCGCGAGCAAATACAAAAAAAAACAAACAAACAAATAAATAAATAAATTAAATTAAATAAATACTAATCAAGCAAACAAGAGGCCAATAAACAAAGTATAATAGATGCTAATTATTTATGCTAGGTGCTTGTCAAGTGACACACACACAGACACACACACACACACACGCGCGTACGGACGTAAATATTATTATATTTAACTTATACAATTAATTTTAGGGAAAAAGATTAATAATAATAATAATAATAATAATAATAATAATAATAATAATAATAAAAGAAAAAAAATGCAAGTTGATTAAATATAAATTTAAATTATTATTTATTCTTCGTATTTTATTTACGAGGCTGAAACAAACAAGTATGCATACACACACATGTAGTAGACGCATTCAATTGCATTTATTAGGTCGTTTTTATTCGTTACTTTCAAAAAAANAAAAAAAAAAAAAAAAAAAAAAAAGAAAGAAAAGTCCTGTAAAAAGTACATCAAATTTATATTAGAAATTTGTTATTAAAATAATTTGACAAATTAGAGTTAACAAGAACAAAAAGGAGCGAACAAGTGAATCGTACTCACCATTGTCAAGTTTTCAATAATATCATTCTATGATCATTGTTTATTAGATTAGTAATTGGAAACATTTTTGATCAGTATTTTAACCCTTTTGCTACTATGGACCACTATAGTGGCCCTCCATAAAATACCGCATATTTGACATACGACGAACATATGCAGTTATAGCACTAAGTCAAATATCCAACCCACACTGGACATGCAATTTTAGTGCTTTGTTTCTTTTGATTAAAAATCGTTAAATATCAATAACAAAATTACCCAAAAATAAAATGAAATTTCGATGCTGTTGCACGTATTAGCAGCCCCGTAATAGTAGACATATTAGCGCCCGTAGCTAAAGGGTTAAATAAACTGTAAACATTTGTAATAAAATATCAGTAAATATTGTGTAATGCAATCACCCTGATACAACTTGACTTTTATTACAAATATTGATTATTGATTTATTATTTATATTAAATAGAAATATTTATAATTTTGATAAAATACTGATGAAAAATGTTGGAAAAAATTACTGATCACACAGGACACACATACATAAACATCGGCACTTGTCAAATATACATTTACTTGCCATAAACAAATGCCTTAGCGAACAAAATGTTACTGTACACTGAAGTAAGTATGTAAGTACTGAATTAAGGGATGAAAGAGGTACCTATATAAGAAATATATATATATATACATATACATATACATATATATATATGTACATATATGTATCTATAAGTATGTATCGTATAATGAAAAAGATACCAAACAAATGAAACACGTAAACGTTAAAATATATCAGGACAAAAATTAGAATGGTTAAAAATATTTCAAAAATATATTGCAAAATACGCGAAATGAAGAATATAAAAAAGAAACAACCGATTCATATAATAATACTATCTATGACTATAATAATAGAAGAGCAATTAATTCACCGATTGTATTGTATAAAATGTATCGCGATCTTTTTCCGTGATTACGTCTCCTTAATGCGTGTATAAAACTAAATAATAATAATAATTATTATTATTATTATTAAAAGCACTTTGTACGCTAAGAAAGTATTCCTTTTTCTCAACAGAGAAAGAGAGGAAGAGAGAAAAAGAGAGAGAGAGAGAGAGAAGGAGAGGGAGAATGACAGAAGTAGAAGTAGAAATAGAAATAGAGATAGAGTTAGAAGTAGATAGATAGATAGTTAGATAGATAAATAGATAGATAGATTTANAAAAAAAAAAAAAAAAAGCAGAGAGAACGAAGGAGAAAGTCCATGAAGAAAAAAAAAATATTAAATAAAAAATATGATAAATAAATAAAAAGAGTAAGAGTGAATGAGAGTGAAAGAAAATAAAGGATATCGAGCGAAGATTAAGGAAAAAGAACAAAAAGATGCAAAACTACGCTAATGATAAATGTTTGTAGAGATTAAGAATGCAAAAAAAAAACAAAAAAAGACAATTATTATCTCGAAGGAAACACACAACAACAACAACAACAAAAAGAAGAAGAAGAAGATTAAGTCATTAAAAAAAAAAAAAAGTATAACAACATAATTATACATACCATCGGTGGCAATGTTCAACTTCACCCGTCCATTTAGTCTTTAAGCCGTGTCTGCACGTGTCTAATTCGGCTTTTAGAGCACACACACACACACATGCATAGAAGAAATCTAACGAACACCACACACGCCGTATAAAAATAATTATTAGAAAATATATTGTATACGTATAATATATATATATATATATATGAACATTCGTCATCTTGCTACGGTAAAAGAAAAAAAGAGACAAATAAGTATTACGATGTCAAACCTTTTTAGTTGGCTTCTATCAATTATATTTTCCAAAAGAAACAACAACAAAAAAAACAAAAAAAAGATAACAACAGCACCTCGATTGCTGCCAACGATTCATTCATCGATCGAGCGCATTGGTGTTCACAGTCAGCATCATATCCGGCTCGAAGAAAATTTGACGTACGTTTAGCCGTGTGACAAATGCGGTTATAAACGTGTCATATACACGTTACACGTATACATACATACATATACATACATACGTCAGGTACGTACGTTTAATTGAATGCGTACGTAGAAAAGAAGTTTGCAAAAATAAAATCGAAATTCTTCAAAGATTGTCTTCGTCTCAACTCTCTTTTTTTTTTTCAAAGTTATATTTATATTACACAAATCCCCATTTTTTCCACGATCCTAATGATCCTATATAGATGCTTTTATATTTTTTTTCTTCTTCTTCCTTCGTTATTTTAATTTATTACAAAAATACACAATCTTTTTTTTTTTTATAGGAATGGTTTTTTTTTTTCAAATGTTACAGGTGGTCGTTGGAACCTTGGATTTGTATAATTTGTATTATTGAATACGTTATATATCGTTGTAACACGCGATCATGGTATTAACAGGTCACTCTTTATCCTTGCCCTTTGCATTCTCGAGAAATTGAGATCACCGAGATATGTTTCTAGCTCTTCTATCAATGCTTCCGCTGCTTCGACACACCTATCTTCCTCGAGTCTTGTAATAGGAATCGAGGCTTCCTCTTGTATTATACTTAGGATTAACTTCAAATGAGACATTGTTCTGCAACAAATAAAAAGAAAAAGATAAAAAAAAAAAATAAGACATGAAAATATAATGAAAGACATTTTTGAAAATGTATAGCTTATTTTCTTAACTTTTTTTTTTTTTTTTTAAATCCTACATCATACCTTGCCATTATACTTATCTTATTACTTGATAAAGTTTCAATCATAGCGTGACATTCGATTTTTTCGATAACATAAATATTGTTCCCGGCACTTTTAGCATCGAGACATTGCAAAATACGAACGAACCTATCGGAATCTAATTCAAAGGGAAGATCTAAAATAGTTTCAAGGGAGATACTCTTGAATGCTAACACGGCGTACGGTGACGAATACGTATCATATTTTCCACGTAGAATATCGCGAGAATAGAAAGTAATAACTGGTATAGCTATTTGCAATTCCGTATCCAAGTTTTCGTATGAAATCGTACTGTATATCTCTACGACTGTATTTTCATGAAAATCTATGGGATCGAGAACAAGCGTGGCTACTATGTTCTTCTTTCTCGGTGATATTACGTCGATCCTTTTCCAAAGTTCGTTTTCCTTTTGCCAGAAAGCCGATACGACACCGTGAATTTCGTTCATGTCCTTTGGAAAGGCATAAAATTTCAGTTCCCGTAATGTTCTGTAAAAAAAAAAAAGAAAAAAAACATCAAATAAATAATTGATCATGAAGTAAAATATCACAAAAAAAAAAAAAAGAGAAAACAATCAGAGGATGACAAGAAAAGAAAAAAAAGAAAATCTTCAATAATTAGTGATATCCAAGATAATGAACAATAGTTAGCAAGTACTCAAACAGTAGAATACAAGTATGTGCTCGTTTCCTGCTTCTGGACTAGGCATTCCGAATAGGTAGGTAAAGAAAGTCGGGCATTGGATCAAGCTTATCTATCCCCCTCTGGGCGTCTCTCTTCCCTGGTTTTCTTCGTCCCTCGCTCCCCCTTTTGCGGAAGACCTTCCCTTTGCTGGCGACCTCCCGACCTATTCGACTTGTCTCGCGCTTGCGCTGCTCACTTCCAACTCCGACAAATCGACCCGCGAAAAATTCAGCCAATCCGGAACTTTAGCGTGCTGTACACGGACTAACCGCAGTTACCACTACTGCTACTCCTACTACTACTATTACTAACATTGGGATCATCAGTACCAGCACCAGCAGTAGAGCAGCAGCAGAAGCAGCAGCAGCACCACCATCATCAGGAGCAACGACGCTGGACTTTGACGCCTGGCGTCTCTTTCTCTCTCTTCCTCTTCCTCTTTCTCTCTCTCTCTCTGTCTTTCTCTTTCTCCCCCTATCTATCTATTTACTCGTCTCACTCACTCCTTCTTTCTCTTCCTCTCTCTCTTTCTTTTTCACTAACTCGTTTGGTCGCTCATATTGTTAGACCAGCAGACGACCATTCCAACGTTTTCTTCTCAGTGATCTATGTGATGCCACCCGTGGTCGTTCGGTGATCCGTGCGCGCATTAACTTCTTTTCTCAAAACGTGCGCGAGAATCACGTGCGTGCGTCAACTGAAAGGACAAAGAGAAGAGAAGAGAAAGAAGAAGAAGAAGAAGAAGAAGAAGAAGAAAGAAAAAGAAGAAATTCCAGAGAAACGAAAAGGGATAAAGGTGTGACACTTGGGGCCCATTCGACGAGAAAGACGAAAGAAACGACCATTACAAGATAATAAAAGAAATCTCTTCGGCTCGACATTTACAGATAAGGGCGATAAATGCTCTAACGAAATCCCGAAACGTCGCAGGATTTTCGGCTTGTATGTCCGAAAAAGGTACAAATATTTATTTTTTTATTTAACCACACAACAAACAATTGATTAACTATCTTAATTAATAAAAAATCTGAAAGAAAAATGGGCGACATACGTTAATTGGTATTTCGTAAAATCTACGTGACATGAGAAAGATATCAGACGGAAGTGATCTTTGAAATCCTACGTGAGAAGCGCTAATCATCTAAGAAACGTCTCACCTTTTATTACGAGAAAGAATAAAGACGATACACGTGTGTGTGTGTGTGTGTGTGTGTGTGTGTGTGTGTGTATCTGTAAAAAATATTCTGTGAGAAAGTTACTTTAAAAATATCATCACGTTGCAAAATTTGATATTATTAACTAACGACGAACATTTTCATCAAGAAAAATTTGATTTGCCTGTTTCAATGATTTATTTAGTAATAATCTCACGTGAATAAAATAATTTAGCAACCCTAACGCAATTGTCACTTATATATATATATACATACACATTTTAATAATCGAATTATTAAAAATATCGTCGAGGAATATTGGCATTTTTTTCTTTTTTTTTTTTTTTTTCGTAGGACGAGTTGTTGACGAGGTTAAACATGAAATAAAATACACGCATAACAATGTCAGCGATTCTATAATTTACCTTTATGTAACAAACGCAAACGATTGCATATTTCGAACGTATGTGTGTGTGTGTGTGTGTGTTCATATGTGTACACGGTTATTTCTCTGTATAAATTTGAACGAATACAAATATATGAAAAAAAAAACAGAAGGAAAAGAGGGAAAAAATAAAAAGATTCTTCGCTTTGTTTCAGTCCGATATGAATACAGAAGGAAAAACGTTCTCAGGGAGATGACACCACGACGTCACGTATTCGCGGGAATTCGTCGAGCACTTTTGGCAGCCGCGATCGTGGGTTTGATCATCTTGGCCCTCTCCAATCAAGATGATCATAACAACGTGCAACAGGGATCACTTTTGGACGTAAGTGACAATAATTATCGTTTATAATTTCATTCTTAAATTTACCTCTCTCTCTCTCTCTCTCTCTCTCTTTCTCTCTCATTTAATGCATTTATCTTGTTATTTTTTTTGGGGGGAGGGAGGGAGGGAGGGAGGGGGCTGTGCTTCATTTTTTATGCATACAACAAATTAATTTAATTCAATCATTAATTGCTTGTCTTATAGTTATATAAAAAGTTAAAAGAAAATTAATTGCAAGTTATTTCAAGAACATCAAGAGATTGTAACCGTCACACAGTCAATCGTTTTACTCTAACAAGTGAAAGGAAAAAAAAAAACACAAAGTTAAGATCTAAATATTTATAGGTAGACATTTTTCTGATTCATCTAACATAAGAATAAAAAAAAAATTTAAAAAAAAAAAAAAGAATTAATTATGTCATTTAGAGGAAGAAACCGCGAGAGCGTAACCGTTCAAGTCGTTTAGTCCCATAAGAGTATTAGAAGATTATCTTAAGGTCATCGAAGTTACCATTGGATACGGATCTATCCGAATTACGTCATATATTATATATATATATATATATATATATACATATCCAAAGTATATTCTTACATAACATAGTCGATAAAGTTCTCCTTAGGCGTGAAAACTTAGTTCTCCTAAGAACTCTTAAAAAGAGATCGAAATCGGTAGGCCCTTGGTTCTTAAAGCACCACCACAGTAAGCACGAATTGGCAAAGTTCCAGGCGCAATGCGGTGCATGGACACGCAGAGATCGGCCGATATGGCCTCTTTAAACTATGCAAAAGAACAGCAAACTAAGTTGAAAGATAAGATATATGTGGAAAGATATTCGACTTTCGCGCATTCGAATCCAACTTTTTGACAAAAAGAAAAAGAAAGAGAATGGTTGGGAAGAGAAAAGAACAGGAACAACAAACATTATATATATATATATATAGATATATACAATAAATTCGAAGAGTATATTGACCTTGAATAATTGTTAAATAGTTCCATTGGATAACAAATCACATTGCTCACGTTGATCACTGTTATACATTATTCTTTCATCTTCCCCCTTTATAACTAATAAAGCTACTAACATATTAAAATACGTGTTCACATTGCTATTTACAGTATGTGTAAACAATTAAGATCAACGATACGTGATTCGAAAGTTAAGATACGTTCTTCGTATCCAATCGTTTATGAGAAAACATTATTGGAGCTGATTTGTTGAACAATATGAAATAAATGACGAATGTTACACAATGCATACGAATGTATATTTGTATATACATGTATGTGTTGGACAAACGCCTCCATGTCAACCAAACTTATTAAGCATTTGTGGAGAAGGATTGGTCGGTAGATCCTGGATAGTTCAATGGATAAGAGCAGTCGCCCGGAAAGTGAAAGATCTGGGTTTCATTCCCAGTCCAATTCGTCCAACGATCCAGTCTCTTTTTTCACGAATCAAGAGGGGTATCCTTGGGGCCTACAATGACTTTGAGATACAAGTAAAAAAAAGAAGGAAAAATATTATCAAAAAGAATCAAAGAGAGAATGAGTTACAAACAGAGTAACCCTTTAAAGTTTGATCACGTGATCTACTTTTCAAGCATTATTTATTTTTAAGTTCACCCAGTCGAATTTTCGCGTACCAGGTCCTACATTATTATTATTATTATTATTATTATTATTATTCTAAAAATTGGAAATCAAATAAATTGATCGGCAGTTTAAAATTAAATTCGCCTAATACCCGTCGAGCCAGACCTGTATGCATGTAAATACGTGTGTATAACTCCGATGCGCTTGCACCAACACTAAAGTGAACTTTTCTCGGATGCATCGCCGCCCACAGAGAGAGAGAGAGCCCTTCGGTCGTGCAACGTTGTGGCCCACATTTGCGATAGTCTCTAGAACGAAATCAATAAGGGGAAGGTAGAGGCAGCAGTGCGCTTCTATTCCACGTTCGTTCTTCTCGTTTAACTTTTTCACCTTTTTTTTTTTTAATTAATTTATTTATTTTTCTTTTTCTTTTACTTCATACATTTATCAACGATTTATTCCCCAAGATAAATCGACAAATTGAAACGAGAAATACAATGAATTCTTTCTCCTTACTTGTTTAATTATTTACATAAATACAATTAATTCGTTCAATACATAAATCTGTAAAATGATACATACGATCTGTATCGTTGATGCACTAATCGAACTTTATACAGATACGATAATTTATATGGTGAGAATGTGTTTTGCAAAGATATATAGGTCAAATGTCACGTGTTTTGCAACACGACTCTCCTCATTCTCAATGCAACGTAGCGTAGGACGACGTGCGCGCGAATAGCCCATAGATAAAAGTGTTTAGTTTAATTGTGGAAATTGACTTAACCTTGCGTGTAGCATAGAAGGTCGGTGTGATAGATATATATATATATATAAGTATACGTGTGCACATTTGTCTATGTAAATATGTGGTACTACGTAAGTGCATACTTAGAAATGCACCTTTGTATGCTTCTTACGCACGTGCTTTGAAAGATCTTGACCCTGGGGAAGAATAGACAAAACTTTCGTTCATTCATACATTTATTCTTCGATTGATTTTTATTCTCTCGAGATATTCAATACGAGAGATAAATATTTACAGTGTACATATTTTTCAGGATGATGTCAACTTAACGCCAGAGGAGAAAATGATCGAACTAGCAACAGCTGCGGAAACAGAAGCTCGTTTGATCGAACGAAGAAAATTTTTGGCCGAAAAGTGTGCCGAGGAAGGACTCGATCGTCCTGGAAATGATTCCCTTCACAAGCCCAATGCCTGGGAATTCCTTGTAAATAAAGAATATCATCTAATATGGTGCAACGTATTCAAAGCTGCATCCACCTCATGGATGTATAATTTCAATTTACTTGCAGGGTAAGAAACGTTTGTTCAGTTTATCTCTTTATTTTTTTTTTTTTTTTCTATTTAAATTAATCAAACTAATAATATTTTATATATTACAAATTTCGATTAGTATAATATAAAAAAAAATGTATTTTGAAGGTATTGAAATGAATGATTTATATCAATCATTTAATCAAATCTTTCAGATACAGTCCGCAATTTTTAAGAGCCTCTAAAGCTGTACCAGTGTCTTTGGCACGACAAAAATATCCTAGACACACGGCCGAAGAATTAGCAAAATATTTAAATGACAGTATCAGTTTCTTAATCGTCAGACATCCTTTCGAAAGATTGTTGAGTGCCTACAGAGACAAATTGGAACATAGTTTACCACATACGTTTCACAGCAATCTTGGTGCCCATATAGTTTGGCATTACAGATCAAAGGTATTTATCAAAGAAGACTACATTTAACTTAATCGATCGACATGATTTTTTTTTAATTATTACATTTTCCACATAGGATTCAAAAATGACTGGTAAACATGGACCGAGATATCCATTCTTTGAAGAATTTGTTAGATGGCTTTTATGCCAGTGGAAAGCTGGAAACGAATTAGACATGCATTGGACACCAATAGTCAACTTTTGTACACCCTGCCAAGTGCGATTCGATATAATCGCAAAATTCGAAACACTTCGAGTAAGTCACGCAAAGATGATGATAATAATTCTTGTTTTTCTCTTTCTCTACCTCTCTACCTCATTCTTACTAATTTATGTTCTAATGAATAAATGAATTTTAATCACGCACGCGTAGGAAGATCAGGACTTCCTTATAAAGCAAGCACACGTTGGACATATCATTAAACCGGAATGGAAGAATCCAACGAGAGGTGTTCAAACGAAAGATGTTGTCCAAAATTATTTCACTCAATTATCCAAGACACAAATCAATGATCTTTATGAAATGTTTAGGTACAAGTACATCCATTTTTTTTTCTTTCTTTCTTTACTTTTATATATTTAGCTTTTATGCATACTGAATAGTTAATATTTTGTTCAATATTAATAATAATCTGTCAGTATTTGAAATAAATGGCTAAGAATTTTGTTAAAGGTTGCGTGTTGATAAAGTACAGATACAAATATTTTATTATAAAAGTGTTGATCACTTAGATTAGATAAAGATAATTTATTAAAAATACTGATCACATCTATGTAAAATATTGATCACTTAGATTAGATAGATATCAATAATTTATTATTAATGTTGACCTTTTATTTGAAATATTAACTCGTAATAAATAACTGTCATTTTTAATAGTAAACGATACTTATCATATTCTAATGAACATCAATTATCATTATTTTAGGTATGATTTTATACTCTTCGATTATTCTCCTGAGGAATATATTTCACTTGGAAAAGACAACCCGACTACGTTGATATGCAAAAATTGAAGTTAAAAATATGTCAACTACTTACAAGACGTCGGTCTCAATCGTAATTATTTGTGAATGCAGCATTCCTTTTTTTTTTTTTTTATATCAAAATATAGTATATTACTCACCTAGGAAGGTAAAGTAAGAAATGTCTCAGAGTTACATGTAATTGTTGTGTTACAAACATGTGCTCTGAGGCTTGCTTTCTTATTTACTGTCCATGGTGAGTAGACATTTTTTTTTTCTGCTCGACGTAGGCAGAAAGCGGCAACTTTGTTTGAAACGAAAAAAAGAAAAAAAAACGCAACGAAACATTAGATTATGCTTGATAAAGTTTAAAATTGCTAAGTATATTATCTGTATATAATAGTCATTAGTTTTAAGTCATTTATTATATAGAAATAAACAAAATTGAAGTATTAATTTTAATTAAAATATACTTTAAACGATATTACATCTTCCTAAATATTATTTTCCTAATACATAAGAAATAATATATATATATATATATTATAATATCATATAATATTAGAGAATTTTTCAAACGAAAAATAATTCTTGTTAATATATATTAATTATAGAAATTTTGTTATTTAATTATAAAGAGCTTCTTCCTAATAAAAAAAAATAAAAAAAAATAAAAAAAACACATACTCGATGTTTGAATCTACTGCACAAACTTAAAAAATAAAAAAGAAATAGATTAAAAATTAATAGATAAATTGTCAATAGAAAAATAAATGCAAGTATACATCTTCACAATAAAATTACCGATTAAACTTTTTATTAGATTTTCAATAAAGTTTTATTATTCTATGACTTGTCGCAACAATTTAAGGTGTAGATTGGCGCATTAGCAGAATTTTTGCTACAATGGCGTTAATACGTAAATACCCAACATAGTAATAAGACAATATATTTCATTATATTTTGGTAAAAAAAAAAAAAAAATCAAATTTTATTTGCCATCCCTGTGATCATAGTATTAACGTTTTATTATAAATCGCAACTATAAACTTTGAATCGTTTCATCTATATTGCAAAAGACAAATTTTATGTTATAAAAATAAAATGGATACTCACTGAAATGATACATTCTGTAAGATTGCAACTATTATCCATTTATCTAGATAAACGTATTGCCAATGGTCTTTCAGTATCAAGAATTTACAGGGTTTATTGTAATTAGATCTCTTTTGAATTACTGGTTCTCCTTTGATGGTGTACATCTATAATAAATATAAACAAAGATACATGTGTTATTGATTTATTCAAAAATTGATTAAACAAGTTTAATAATAATAATCAAATACATGGATCAACTTACTTCGCTATCTGAATCAGAATTTTTTTCATGGCCATGGACAAGTTTGAAAATTAAACTATTAGAAATATTTTTAATTTCATCCTTTAATTCTTCCAATTCATTATTCGTTTTATCTACCTTGTTCTGTAAAGAACTTAATTGATTTTTAAGATATTCTTCTATGGGATTATTTATGTTAGAAGATGGAGGATTAAGAATGGAATTTTCATCTTTATCACTAAACTCAAGCGCATCGTCGTCAAGACAATCCATGACTTTGTAATTAAAGCCTTTCAAATATTGTTTAATCGTATGGAAACATAAAGCTTGTTACAAGAACACTCATTGAATAAACAACACTCTAAGATGCTGTTTAACCTCTAAAATCGAATCAAAATTAAAATATCGATGAAAAGTTGTTTAAACTGTCACAGACGATTCTTCAATATATAAGATCTTCTCATTTTAAATAAACTATTAACGTATTTCAAATTATTATCTACTTAATTCTGTAATACTTCAGTATCAAACAACAGAACTATTGCATGAAATCATTTTCTTAAAATCACATACACATACAAGACTAACTAAAGGCATAGAGATATTATAGATAGAGTAGACAAACCATAGGCGATTGTGTAAGCGGAAATGTCTCTGCATGAATATACCAAAAAACGAAAGGTTGATGTTGTCTCTCTCTAACTCATGCGGTACTGGCGCATGCGCATTAGACTTGTCGTGCTTATCGTACACGTATGTATACGATATCAGCTACCTTACCTCACTAGCAGACTAATGCGCATGCGCCACTCACCGCAAATTAGAAAAAGATGTTTACGATTCGATGCATCAAATCAGTCTGATACATCGTCTGTAGTCGACGTTTTACGATACATCAATGTATTTTATTCAATGAAGAAATGTATTGTTCATGGGTGTATAAGTGGACTAGTCAAGGATCGTAATAAGAATGCTAAATTAAATCAGGTAAATACGTCTTTATACAATGTATCACAGGTAATATAACCTTAATTGATAATTATTACTTACTAATATAAAAAAAAATACAATGATGCAAATGTTCTTTCACTCTACTTATACTATAGAAATTTCTAGTCTTATAAAAACTGCAATTTACGATAATAAATAATAATTTACTTTTAATTTGACTTTTTTAAATTTAGTTTTTCATCCTTTACTCAACTGCAATTAAATAAGATGAAATTGAATAGATTTACATAACAAGTTGACGATAATATCTTGGAAATAATTGTAAAATAATAAAAAAATTGTTCTCATTACTTTAACGCGTGAGTACAATAGTTACATTTCCGCGACAATAAACTAGGTTTTAAAAATCTGATTCCTAATCACACTAACGCGCTCTAGTGCAAAAATCTATCCCGTCATTTTCGTACATTTCTAAAGCATTGCGTGCGCCCTCTCGTTATCATCTGACTCCGTGATGGATAACATTTAATCTGTGTACATGTACATTTTTTATGATTTCAGCTTTTTCTTTTTACACTTTTTCGTCAATTCATGCGAAACCCATCGTGATGCAATTTTTTGCATGCCCAGGCGTTTCTTCAGAATACGAAGCACAGTCGTATGCGCTAATCCGGTTTCTTGGGCGAGCTCACGAATCGTATAACGTCGATCACTGTCTACTAACGCGGCAACAGCATGTACATCTTTTTCAGTGACGCTAGGACGACCTGCCCGATGCATGTCTGCCACAGTTTGCCGACCTTCTTTGAAATCTTTTACCCAACGTGCCACTGTTCTGTACGGCAATGCCGAATCCCCGCACGCCTCTTGAAGACCTTGATGACACTGTCGTGCTGTACGACCTCTGGCACATTCAATCTTGATCCAACTCCGTTGTTCATGTTTCGAAAACATAGAGACACCGTTACGTTAGACCGCTCGCTCACAAGTGACTGTGTTTTCCTCAATTGTGCCCACGCCGGTGACGTGGGGGACGGGCGAGTCCATTTGCTCGGAGGTAAGGTAGGTATATCAACAACGTGTGCTATCAGTGACAATAGTAGATTCCATTGTATAGTGTCTCCACAGCAGTGTTGTCACTATTTAAGTTCCAACCTACATACATAATAATAACAAATACGATGATTACTCGCGGAGCCTAGATAACAAGAGGGAAAAATAAACTAAAATAATAAATAATGAAAAGTATGTTGCTATGTGTTTTTCGCTAATACAGTATTACAAATATTTATTCAAAAAGCTCTAATAATAAAACTAATAATAAAACTGTCAAATATTAATTTTACGAAGGATTCAATTACTCTTTAATCAAAATGTCTACCATTTTCATCATTATGTTTTATTTGTTAACAAAATAATATCATTTTTGTAATCAGCGATCCCAAAAACTTTCATTTTTTTCAGGATTTAAGACCTTTATCATTGAACTACGTCTTTTTGAGCACACGATTGATTTGTACTTGACATTTACAATTTTTTAAGAAAATAAACCACGATACAGCTCACATTAACCCTAATTTTGAGATACAGTTCAACCTTAAATTGCAATTATAACACATATTAATACTACTACACATATTCAATTGCAGCAGACACATAAACCTTATAAATACAAGCGATACTCGTGTATAAAAATCATCCAAAATAAACCTATATAAAAACTTTCAAACAGCGAAGTCATGTGATCACTTAATTACAATTTTTAAATATTTACAAATACTACGTTTTATTTTACTTTATCTTATAATAGTAATCGACAACTTCGCACTAGTTGCATATACTATTTTTTATTACGAATACGAGGACATATTTGGTACACAATTGGGATCCAGGGGCGAAGCTCCGGCGGGGTCCAGGGGCAGAGCCCCTGCGAGGGGCTGGGGGGCGGAGCCCCCTCACTCCACAAAACAATATTGAAAAAGTTAAAAAATTTTAAATAAATTTATTTGCATAACGGAACTTTCTTTTGTTTTTTTTTTTTAAACAACGGAATATCGTTTCCATTTTAATTAATACAAATATTACAATATTAATCGATCTAATATTTGAAAAATCAATTGAGATTATTCGAAAATGACTTATCACAATTGGAATTTTTGTAAGGATTTATTCGATAATAAAAATCATGAGCTTGTATTAAAAAAAAATCAAATAGAAGAGGACAGTCTGTTTAATCGAAGGAAAAAAATACAAAATCTTGCACAAGCTGAATGGTATAACATGAAAAAAATTCGTGAAAATTTGAAGGCCATGTTACCGATGATACCTCTTTCTGAAGTAAAACGGTTAAGTAAAAAAAAAAAAAAAATACATTTTTTTTTTGTTTTTACTCTACAAAATTTTTAAATGTTAATATTTTTTCCTATCCTTTCAAAGATTCTACTTAAAACACGATGAAGCAGTCATAGACGAACTTAAAGAAAAAGGCTTAGAAAATGCGGCTGATTTTATTCGAAATTTAATTGAATTCGATGAAGAAAGAAGAAATATTGCTGGTCCTGGTACATCTACCTGGACAAAGCCACGATTAAAAGATCAACGAGATTTATTAAATCAATTAAAAGAAACTTTAATCGAAATTGGAAAAGCTGAAAAACTAAGTAACATTTAAATAATATTCTTTCTAATCTAAATAGCAACGCGAAGATAACAAAATGGATGATTTGTTTAGGACAATCAATAGAAGCATCAAATTTGTGGATAAAAATATCAATATTTTTTCAATCAAAAGGTGAAGATTGGTGGTGGGTAACAAAAAAACTTTACGAAAATGCATTGAAAACAGCCGAATTAATTGATGAGGATGACGCACGCAATATCACTGTCGTACGATATCTTTACGGAAAATTTCTTTCTATGATAGGTTACTAACAACAACAAATCTCTATTCTACTTGATGAATGATAATTAGATCAAAATGTTGATTAAAATCTAACGAAAAATGATTTGGTATGATAATAGAGATCGATTGGCTTAAAGCGCTCGAGTATTTGGATATTGCAAGAGAAGCATCAGAAAATAAAATATGGAACGTTTCGAAAATAATTAATGAAAAAGAAAAATCTATTTTTAAAGAATCTTGTGCTCTGATTTACAAAATTCTTATTGCACTTGTTCAACGAATTGGCCAAGAGGATTCCGAATTTGCTGTGCAAGCTTGCAACGAAGCTTTGAAAAGAGCTACGGATAGCAAGTGTTTTATTTATTTATTTTCCGTTTTTTTTTTTTTGTTAATTTATGATGACTTTTTTTCTAACTAAAGATAATTATTTAAACAAAGTTTTATACGTTTTTAAACAAGCTGGTCATTACGATTACATAGCTAACGCTTTGTATGAGCTAGGAAGGACCCATTTGTATTATGGCAATATTAAATATTCTTTGGAAGAATTTTTTAAATTATTAGCCATGGCCAAAAGAAATTCGGATCCCGAAAGAATTTGTAATGCACACATGGAATTAGCCTTTGCTTACAAGGTAATAAAATAAAATCAAAAAATGTATAAATAATGGATGACACTTATGATCTATTGTATACAGGCTGTCCCAAAACTTGCTTTTTCTAAAAAAAAAAAAATAGAACAAAATCAATACCTGCATTATAATTCGAATTACAATATTTTCCAATCATATAACTAAAAGTATCATTTAACATTTCAGTGTAACGATTTTTCAAAAGTCCTGCGTAATAGGGACAAATCACTGTATAAGTTTAATGTTAAATTATACATTGTACATTACTACAACATAGATATTTAATAAAATATTATTTTTCCTCATACATAATTGATGAGTGAGACATTATGATATTAATTATTAACTTTCTGTGTATATTATATTTTACTGCTTGTTCCATTTATCATTTAATTTAATATCAATTTATTTCCTTAATTATTTTGTAATTAGTCCATTATTTATATAAAAACATATCATCCTAGTCAAAGATTATTTACAAAGTTACGAGATCTTATTTTATTAATATATGAATATTGTATAGAAAAAAATTTATTAATACACTCTTAACATTAATTATTCGTGGCATTATTACTTTGCTTATCTCTAATTATGTTTGTATTTCTTTTTTTAGGAAATTGATGACACTACAAATACAGAAAAACATTTAAATTTATTTCGAGATAATGCAATTCAGTTTGATTTGCCGTATAAACTTGCACAAGCCCATTACTATATTGGTGAATATTTATTAAATCAGGTTAATACATCTTTTTATTCTTGAATAATTTATTTACAAAAAAAGATTCACGTAATTGTAACAAATTTAATATATATATATATATATGTAATTCAAAAATATTATATCAAAGTTTTACAATGTAGTTATCTCTATTGACAGTATCTTTTTTATTAAAGTCATTTATTTAAAAAGCTATAAACTCTTGTTACAATTTTACGTGAATAATCATCCTGTGTATATATATATAGATGTATTATTGAATTAAATAAAATACATGTTGCCCTCCTATAACACGGTTTCCTTCCCAAAAAAAAAGAAACCTTCGTAGGTTTTGTGCCTAAAAGCAAAAGTTTTTGACTCATAGCAGCTCTGAGTTTCATACAAAGCGGCTTCAAACAACACGGCATTTTGCTAAGAACGTATTTACCGTGTTATAGGGGGTGGGAGGAGGGTGGGGGTGGGTTTACCTGTACTTGAAAACTAAAACTAAGTAATACAAATGTTTATATATATATATATTTAGATGAAACCTAATTCAGCAACGCCACATTTGGAAAAAGCTTTCAGTTTATATTATGATCTTGGATCTATCGAGGAAGCAGATCAAGCAAGAATAATCACTGGTATATCAAGGGGTAAAGTTCAAATTATTGAAATACTATATATAATTACTTTCTTTCTTTTTTTTTTACCCGCCCTCCCCCTTTACTTACATTATTTGCATATAAAATGAATTTTAAATGAATTTATTAATATATATGTACATATATATTCGATATCGCACGACAACCTATGCCAACTTAATTAATTGTTTTTTTAGCTAAATAACCAATAATAATAATAATATGGTTCCTACATACAGTATTTCAAAATCCTGTAACGAAATATTGCAAAACATAATCCCTACATCATAAAAATACTACACTTAAATTATTATTATATTTATTTATTTACACAATTTTGTTTAATAATTATGCGTTTATTTTTTATTATATTAAAGGGATAACACGAAAAGTAATGAAAAATATTTCTTCGATGAGTACAGTGAGAAATTTATTTTGTCTTAAATAAAAAAAAATCGAAGGACTTTTTTTTTTTTTAAAAAGAGAATTGAACAATTTTAAAAATGTGTTTAAAAATGATGACAACATTTGTATTTTTGATTGATTAACATCCATTGAAAATTTCTTTAATAAATAAATGATTTTTCGTCAACGAAGAAAAACATTTTGATTACTTTTCGTTTCCTATATATATATATATATATATATATATATATATATATATATAATATATTTGTTTATTAAACTTGTCAAATTGTAAGATTATTATTATTATTTTATTTTTTTTTTGTTTTTCATTTAGTATACTATGTCTTATATTTCAAGTTATTTTCTATACGGTATTCAGCAAACTATCAACGCCCATTATGTGAATGTGTTAATAGATTTGTTAATTTGAATTTATTCTTATAACATGAAATATACACACAGGACAAGAACAAATAGAACAGTTTATAAATCTGATATTAAAATGTGAAAAACATAATCTATACGCACTGTGCAAAATGTACAAGTGGAAAAATAAAAGAGACATTTTTTGGGCCAATAAGCAATGTGACATTAATAATAAAGGTATTTATTATTTACTATTTATATATTTACGATTTTACTTATTTTTATTTCTTTTTTTTTTTTTTTCTACTATTCTAATATCATTGTCCTACAATAAGTAAACGTTATGACATATTACAGAAAACTATGATTATTATGAACATCTTGCGTATCCAAATCAATCGATTTTAAATCATTTAACAAAGCAAACTTAATATTTATAATTATCACTAACTAATTTTGTCCTCTTTTCAATATATATTATATTTAACATTTTAATATTTATAATTTTATAAAGAAAAACATGTGTTCCCATTTGTTGTTTTTGTTTCTTTTTTTCTTCTTCATAATAATTTAAGAAAAACAAAATTCCTTATTCAGACGACGTACATAATAATAATAATAATAATAAGTAGTAATATTCTTGTTTCGAAAAAGTCCAATAAAAATTGAGAGAAACGACCAAATAAAAAAATAAAAAATAATATAATATTAATATGTATGCATGTATATTGGAAAAAAAATTAAAAAAAATTAAAAAAAATTAAAAAAATAAAAACAAACAATAAATCAGAAATAGCTAATCAATAGAAAACTATCACAAATATTGCGCAAAGAGATTAAACTCTAATGTATCTCTCTGTTAATATTGCTATTTGAAAACATGATAAGTCTTTTTAATACGCGTGATGTAATTACACATTAAATTAATTTTTTTCTTTTTTTTTTTTTTTGTTCCATACGATTTTGTACAAAATTTAAAATTCGAATGTTTTTCTGAAAGATTACAAAACTAATTATTCATTCCTTAAACATATTTTCGTTTAATGCGTTGATGATGTGTTATCAATTTATGTATAATATGTATGTATGTGTGTGTGTGTGTGTGTGTAGTGACATACCCCCTTTTTGTACTAAATTTACTTTATCTCTTATTTTTGTTCATATGATGTTTACCTTTGATATGAAGTAACAACTGAAAAGAAAAATTGACAAATCAATTATACATATAACAATAAAGAAAATAATAAAATTAACTAGTAAAAGTACTTAATAATACAGGATGTCCTGTAACTAATGGCACAAAGCGAGCAACAAGTGATAGATTTCACTACTTGTGTATATTTCGAAAAGCACTTTTGCGCTTTTGAATTATTAGCAAACAATGGCAGTTTCATATCTCTTATATCAGTTCTAATCTTGTGTGTATCAAATAAAAGTTATAGTTTTTAGGATTTTGTATGTTTAATCAAATTCACACGTACTCAACAAATTTTCATTCATTCGAATCATCACCTACTCGATCTACTGCTACTTACAGGACACCCTGTATATATTTGAACATATATATGCATTCTTTAATTTAAAAAAAATAAATTAGAAGTTACTATCTGCAAATTTTTAAAGCAACTTCAAAAATCTTTAAATTTATCATAGTTTTTTAAAAGAATATTTTCAAAAAAAAAAAAAAAATCGAAATATGGAAACAATTTAAGAAAAAAAAGAACAAGTTTATTTGAAAATTAAAAAGAAATCTTGTACATAATTTTTGTATATAATTTTCTTTATATATTTATTATATATTTTTAAAAAATTCGAAAGAAACGGCAAAAAAATTCATTTTTCGTAGAGAGCTTTATTAAAAATATTTGTTCAAAAAGATCATGAAGTTTCCTTTTCACAGAATATAAAAAAGAACATAAAAATTTAAACTAACAAAAAAATATCAATTGTCACAGTAAATTGAGTACATGGAATCTCCATATATATATATATATATACACACAAAATATATTTCATAAATCAAAGTACTGAATTTCTTGCAAAATAGATGGTAAAAATGTTTTTATTGAAGAAGATTTATTTACAAGGGAAGAAAGAAAAGAATAACTATCCATAAAATTCATAATAATACTTTAAATTTACGTAATAAACTTACTAGTTTCAATTTATTAAAATATTTCCGTAGTATTCATAGGATCTAAAGATGGCATATCAGCACTCTTTTGTATTTCAAGTGTAATATCCTCTAAAGTTTCCGCTTCCAGTTGTACATCTCTTATATTACTTACAGCGCTTGAAGTATTGTGTTGTTCACTCGTGGCTAAATTAGAATCACGTTTTTCCATTTCTACCATTGTACCAACTGATTCTCTATTATCTTCTTTTATTTGATCAACCTCATTACTTGAATTATATTCATTTACAGATGTCAGATCATAAAGTAATCTTTGTGCATCATTTGAATGTACTTTCTTCTTATCAGACTCCATCATTGTAGTTTTAAATGTATCTACTTGTTTTTCTACTTGTTTAACTACTTCAACAGAGTCAGAGTCATCTTTTATTGATTTAACATCAGATTTAGAAACATTACATTCAGTAGAAGTTTCTAAACTGACACTATCAACTACTTCTTTATTTATTTCATTTTGTTCATCTTTATTCGTTTCATTCTTATCATTTTTTTTATCTTTTATACTTTTCTCCTCATGTTGTTTTAATTTTTCACTATGAATATCGTCCAAATGATCACCATCACTCAATTCAAAGTTATCTTCATTTACATTGCTATTCTGTTTTTCTTTCTCAATGATACTTTTTCCTATTTCTTTTGATTTATCTTCGCTTTCTGTAATAATGTCGATTTCTTGTCTCTTTTCTTTTTCATCACTTTTGTTTGTCTCATCTTCTAATTTTTCATTAATTCTATCATCATCTTGTTCATTTGTTACACATTCTATTTCTTTTGCGTTATATTCTTTATCCTTTACCACATTTTCATCCTCTTCAGTCATCTCTTTATCTTCTTCTTGTTCTTTGTCTTTTTCTTGTTTTTGTTCTTGATCTTGGTCTTGTTCTTGATCTTTATCTTGTTCTTGATCTTTATCTTGATCTTGGTCTTGTTCTTGATCTTCTGATTGTTTTTCATTTTCTTCTTGTTTTTTACATTCTAATTGTTCTTTGTTTTCTGATTGTTTTTCGTTTTCTTCTTGTTCTTCATCTTTCTCTTGATCTTCATCTTCTAAATGTTCTTTGCTTTCTGATTGTTTTTTGTTTTTCTCTTCTTGTTCTTTATCTTCTAATGCTTCTTCGTTGTCCTCTTGCTCTTCTTCGACTTTCATTGTTTTTTCTTTTGTCTTCTCTTTTATATTATCATTTTCTGATTGATCAATGTTGCTTTCAGAATTTTTAGCATTATTTTCCTTTACTTCCTTCTCATCTTTATCTTTTGTCTCTTCATTCATTTCCTTTGTCTTTTCTTCCAATTCTTTGGCATTTTTTATTGAATCATTATCAGATCCATCATCATTTTGAATTGGTTTATCGTTATTGGTTATCTTATCGTCCTTTGACGTATTGTTATTTTCCATAGAGGTAAGCAATACTTCACTTTCTATTACACATTTAGGAGGAGATTCTTCTTTGTCTTTGTTAAGTTTCAAGTTAGATTCTTTACTATTTGACTCTTCAATCGTTTTCGTCAATTTTAATTCTTCTAGATAGTTTTTTTCTGTACCACCATGTATTTCCGATGAATCTTTCACTTTGTTCTCAGTTAAAGAGAGATTCATTTCCTCCTTATCTGCCTTTTCTACTGTATCTTCTGTTACATGATGATCTAATACATCAACAGTTTCAAGTTCTTCATCGTCATTAACAGATAATGTAATTTCTTCATTTTGTTGTTCACTTAGTTCATCATTAAATTCATCAGTTTCCTCTTTAATCTCCTTGTTTTTATTTTGAATCATTACCTTGTTCAATTTCAATTCCAATGTTTTAGAATGCGTCAATTCATGTGTAATAACTTGAAGTTTATTTTTAAACGTTATCCCACATTCTCGACAAGTGTGCGTTTCCTTTTTGCTGCTTGAATCTTTCTTTTTACTTGAATTTTTCTTCTCATTTGAATTGTTTTTTTCATTCAAATTAACAGTCTCCAATGATGTTGACATAACATTCTTTTTTGTTAGTAATGAGGCATCTTCACTGATAGATGTAGACGTTGAATCTAATTTGATTTTCTTATTCTTTTCGATTATATTATTATCTGTTTGAGATTTAGATTGTTCTAAGATTGACTGTTCGTTTGATTTCTTTTTTTCCATATTATTTTCGAACAATAATGAATCTTCACTACTCGTATTATTTTCTACTAATATATCCATACTTTGTTTTCGTTTATTTCTTTGAGATTTTCGAATGCCACTGTCTGACAAAGAATATACTTCTCTCTCATTAGATTTCTTAGATTTTTTGGTTTTACCAATTTGTGATGTGTCAATAGATAAAATGTCAGTATCAGAGTAATTACTCGTTTTAGATGATCTTGTTTTATACTTTTTATCTTGCACTTTAGTTATTTTAACTGTTGTTTCTTTTTCGGTATCAATTTTTATCTTTTTACTTCTTTTATTTTCACTGTCGCTGCTGTCATGAAGTAGATTTAATTGTGAACGTTTTTGACCTTTATTTGATTTAATATTAATTTTTTTCGATTTTTCTTGAGTATCTGAATCCGTTTTATGTGCTTTTTCAACTTCAGTTTCACTTTCACTATCTGTTATAATATATATATTGTTACCGTAAGTATCCTTTTCGACTTTATATCCCTTCAGTTCCTTTTTAGTTACTGTATCGGATAATACATCTTTTAAGAATACTGCGCATAATTTAGTATCCGATTGAATTTTTCTTTTTCGTTTATTTGATTTACTTGGATCCATGTTGATCCAACAAACTTTACACACTGTTAATCCAGTTTTATAAAATCTATACATATCTTCGTCAATTTTGATTTTATTTTTGCACGAACTACAAATGCGAAACTTTAACTGTTGTGGCTCATCTTTGTTCAACTCAATTGCGGAATTTTCTTCTTCTTCTTTTTTATTATTAGAATCAGTGTCAGTATTATTTAAAATATATGATTTAGTTTTTACATATGCTGGGACAGTTGTTTTACGTTTAATGGTAATTGTATTAACCTGCAACGAAGATAAATGAATGTGAATAAGTTTGCATATAT